ATTTCCCTATTTGGAACGTAAGTTGTCTGAGCAGCTAGAACTATGATCTAAAAAATGTCATATCGGCAATCATCACCACCTACCTGACCCACAGTCAGGTCATTCCAATTCAGCCCACCCAGGTAATTTCTGTCCTATAAAATCAGCCAAGCAGAAGTCGGGGGACAGACACTTGATTGCCATTATTAGGGTAATTCCATGATATATTAAAACAGTGATTTGTGATCATTTTCCCCAAGCTAATCATTAACCTCAAGATTAATTAGCAATTCCCTGATGGCAAGAACCAAGTCAAGCAGGTTATTTCCTCTAGTTGGTTCTGTCACAGACTGTTTTAAAAAACAATCCTGAATTGTATCAAGAAAGTCACCTGACTCCAAATTTCCTGTCAAACTGCTCCAGTCAATTTGTCTAAAGTTAAAATCTCCCATTAGCACTACATTTTCATATGTAGATGCCTTATGAATTTCGTCCCATAGAAGTTTACTGCACTCCCTATCAAGGTTTGCGGGCCTGTAAATCACCCCCAAGATTAGTTTTTCATGACCCTCGAGAAGCTGTAACCAAAACACCCCTCAAGGAAGGCTCCTTGATGTTGGTGAGGGGCTCTTGATTTAGGGAATTGGATCTGTGCTCCAGTTCCCCGAATTAAGCCTGAATGCCTTCCACATCCCCCCCCCAGGCGCTGTATAATCCTCCGGGTTTAGCGCTTCCCCCTTGATTATAATAATAATAATGTAACCAAAACAGATTCAGTGGCTGATGCTTCTAATTTTATATCTTGGCTAACAGAACAATTTAAATTGTCTGACATACGTCGCTACTCCACCACCCTTCCTGTTGACCCTATCAGTGTGGAATAATTGACAGCCTTGTATGTGGCATTCAGAAGGCATTTCTCCATCTTTCAGACTGAGCCAGGTCTCTTATAGCAATAATATCTATGCTTCTTGCACTTACAATTAATCTTAGCTCATCTATCTTATTTCTTACACTCCTGCTATTAGTATAGTAGACTTTAAAGGAACTAGTCTCTTGCTGCCCTCTGCTGTCTGTTTGCTGACCTGATCCATTGTCTTTATTTGTAACTTTATAATGAATATTTTTTAAACATTTACTGTTTTCAACCCTGGTGTTGCAACATGGCTGTTTCCCACACACACACACCCGTACCTCTATCAATTTAAAATCCTAGACATGTCAGCAATGGCCCTCTCGATCGAGTTGGCAAATGCTACCACCCCTGCCTCAGAGATGTACCCCATCCCTTGCATTCATATCATGTTTGCCATAAAAGTTGTCCCAGTTATCAATGAATGGGATTGCAAGTTCCTTACAGTATCTGTCTAGCCAGCAATTTACACCAATTGCCCTAGACAACCGTTCATTGTCAACTCCCCTTCTAGGCAAGATGGTACATTTGATTGGGACCCCTCCCTTAGACCTAATTAAATCTATAGCCGACCTGTACTTATCTAGCAGCTCTTCTCTCCTACCCTTCCCGATATCATTTCCACCAGCACAGACAGATAATGGGCTTGTTCCCATTACCAGACATGATATTATCCAACCTGTTGACTATGTCAACAACACCAGCTCCAGGGAAGCACACACCTTATTCCTATTACAGAAAGCACGGTCCATATCTCTTACCTGCGAGTCACCAACCACAAAAATTCGCTTTCCTCTATTAGTAGGGGAAGTAGTACCTTTACCTTCACTGACCACTGAAGTACACTCATCCTGAAGAACAGAGAAGCGATTTCCTACCTTCAAATCTCTCTTAACTTTCCTTATTTTGATGCTCCTCCCATTACTGGGAACCACTAGCCACTTGTAGCAGTTGCTGGACTCCACCTCACTGCTGGTAGCCTCATTCCCCTCAACCACCTCACACTCACTGCCAAACTCATTGAGGTGAACCTTCAGTCTCCCAATTTCCTCCTGGAGAAGTAGGACCTCCTCCTTCAACACACTAACTTCAGATTTTGAGACTGCAGAAGCAAGCCATGGCTTTGTAACCCTCCATATTACTCCCCAAAGCAGCTCAGGCCCTGTGACCTCTCGTGACCACTGACCACTGAACCTTAATCACTAATACAAGGACCTTAATTATTTCCCTTAGTATGCCTTTTCTCTCCTTTTGGATTGGTAAGAGCATTCGATTTACAAACGCAAGGTCCCGGGTTCGATTCCCTAGCATGAATCAACATATGGCCAGTTTCCTACTGCCTCTGTCTAACTAGCAGTAAATTTGAAGTACCTGTGAATTAGTCTACTGCTCTGGGTCACATCCCGGGAAAATGTGTTAGAAAACCCAGTCCTGCTGAAGTGTCACATCCTGTGTAAGAAAACTCCAGTACCTGCTGGGAGTATTCAAGTGTTAGGTAAAAGGTACCGGTGTACTTGATGTTAACTAAAAAAAAGTTTAAGAATGCTAGCTAAACAAAGCATTTACTTTACTTACATATCTGTTCCAAATCACTGCTCATAGACCAAGTATCTATAGGTAATTTTACCCTATTACAGTGTACTTACATTAATAGTTCCGTATCTGGAAATTCGGACATGACTGGGCATGCCTTGATACATTGCACTTGAGGAAATAGGCGTTTAAACATTATATTTAATACAGTGAGCATTTATACCGCCGGGAAAAGAAATTCAGCTATCCGAGTGGTGTGAAGGAAAATGACTGCACAGAATTATCTTAACCTCGATTCACTTTCAACCAGACAGCACATGATATGTCGGTTCTCTGAACCATTCATCTACAGACAGCACATACTGAACTAAAATGAACTATCTTCTCCCTTTCCTCTGTGGATATTGAAATATGCATTAAAATCTTTAATGAAGAAAACTAAATAGGGCCGCCTATTGGAATAACTGAGTTAGTATTAAGTCCTCATAACATGTTACTTTTGTAGATCTCCAATTACTATATTTACGTGCTATGATACTAGCAAGTTTAATTTAAACTTTAATCACATAATACATTTTTACAAGTCTTAATGTGAACGGACCAATAATATTCATCACCCTCCCTTCTTATACATGGGAAATTACTAACAGAAACTGTATTTAAGAAACTTGACAAGCTCATCAGTTCCTGTTCAGCCCGGCTGTGGTGCATACGATGGACCGCGTGAGACTAACACCAACAGCCTGGGTCATCAGGAAGTCCAACAGAGGGCCTAGTCTGGGACCGGACCGCGGGGACGTTGATCTCCGAAATCAAGTAAACTTCAGGACGCACAGATGTTGAGGAACACACAATATAGCACATGTATATTTAACCTCGGATAACAATAAAGTGAAACAATGGAGCTTATTTCCATTGGGGTCCCTAAATACAGATCATTTGTAATTATTTCATTCATGAATTCATCACGGTGGTTATCAAACGATGTCCCGACACTGGGCCCTTATGGAGGATCGATATCTACCTGGAGGGTATTCCAGGGATCAAAGCCCCCGCAGCCAGGTCCACGACCAGGCCTCCCGGTGGATTAGTAAGTTTATTCAAGTATACACAAATACAGTTACATAGATTATCATACATAGCAGCATATGTGTAGAGAATCTACGATAACCCAAAAAAGTCAAGAGTGACTTATTTCCATTGGGGTCCTCATCAGGGCCTCATCAACCAGGCTGTTATTGCTGGCCGTACGTAGTCTAACGTACGAACCACAGTCCGGCTGATCCGATACCAACTATCTGTCCAGATCCCTCTTGAAGGCAGCCAGGGGCCTACTGGTAATTCCCCTTATGCATGGTGGGAGGCTGTTGAAATCTTGGGCCCCGGACACTTGAGGTGTTTTTTCTCTTAGTGCACCAATGGCGCCCCTACTTTTCATTGGGGGTATTTTGCACAGCCTGCCCAGTCTTACTTTCGCAGGGAGTGATTTCTGTGCGCAGATTCGGGACCATTCCTTCTAGGATTTTCCAAGTGTAGATTATGCTATCTCCCTCTCGCCTGTGTTCCAACAAGTACAAGTGCTCCCAAGCGTTCCCAGTAGTTGACAGGTGTTTGATGGAACTTGTATGTGCAGTAAAGGTTCTCTGTACATTCTCAAGATCTACAATTTCACCTGCTTTGAACGAAAATGTTAATGTGCAGTAATATTCCAGCCTAGAGAGAACAAGTGATTTGAAATACAAATTTATGTATATTAAGTATTTACTAGGTACAGGTACACACGAGTATAATGATCATACCTGGTAACATGTATAAATTACCTAGGATAACCCAGAAAACTTAGTGACTTATTTCCGTTAATCTGTACATGTCACATATTTACAATAGCTTTATTCTATAAGAAATTATATAAATATAAACTATTTCTTTGGAAAGTAATGCCTATGTAGGATGATATATGAAGGAAATTTAAATAAATCAATTGACTTTATTGGGTTATCCTACGTTGATTATATATACTGTAATGTAATTTTTGTGTACCCTCAAGATTACTGTAAAAAGTGTACCTTCAAGATCATTGTAAAAAAAAACGTCTTATGTATCCAAAGCCTAAATAAAAACTTACTAATATTAGTAGCCACGCCTTAGGCAAACATGGTACGGAGAAAGCTTGGCACCCTGACCCAAGCTGATATTACCACTGCCTTACTTACTCCAACATATTATTTATTAGGAAACGCCAGCATAAAACAAGCTTCATAATTATTAAGTAACTACATACATCATTTTTGTAACAGGGAACATTAAAAGCATTTAAATATTGTAAGATGTTATATCTGATCAAGTGGCGATGCCAAACAGCATTAATAAAGTTAAATCGAGTCAAGAAGTTTCCAAATGCATCTTTTTCATTAATTTGGTATTTTTTTTTTTTTTGCATTGTTCAGGTATATCTCCTGTAGATGCACAAATAACCCAGAGTGGATGTTCTAAGCCGGCATGTCATCAATTAAGCCAGAGAGCAGTGCAGCCAAAGCAGTAATATGTCGTGAATATTAAGGTAAATTTATCTCACCTTAGGATCCTTCTCATAGTAGTGCTGCTGAGTTCTGATCCATCTTGAGGTGAGGTGATCTCTGACTGTATGGGCCAGGGTAAAGTAGTAATCACGGGGAGTGGCTACATTTCTGTCTTTTACCAGCGTGTAATGCAGATGGCGATTAAAGGTCTTCTTGACATTGGCAACATTTTCAACTTGGGCGATCCCCCTGACGGAGATCTGCTTCCTTTTTTCGAGATCGGTCTGGGGAGTGGTCATGATGCTGCTTTCACCAAGTGTAGCCGTCCACTAGCAGCAGTTAGCAGACGACGCGACTTAACACTGCTCTCATGGACACTCCAAGGTCACACAACGCGCATGCGTCTCACGCACCGCCAGGTTTAAAGGCACACACTCAAATATTCCAATAAATGAAGGCTGTGACCTTCATATAACCTTTATAGATTACTTTCATGATCTGGCGTTTCATATGAAGTTTCACTTAATCGATTGCTAGTTTTACATTTAAAAATTTTGGTGTTATGAAATATGAGTCGCGTATAGTGGCATAGAATATGAATGACTTTGAGAAGGTCGTTTGAATGATATGCTCTTCCCCCAGAATCTAATTTTAGCGATGGGTGCAACTAGCTTTTGACTTTGTTAGGGTAATATAAAGCTAAGCCTCATTTTTTCAAGTTAACACTGATAGTTAACTAACCCAATTATGTACAAACATTTTCACTTTTTATATACAATAGACATTTTCCTGTATTTCATCTTTATTCTGTACACTTGATGTAATTTAAAGATTTCCACTTAATTAGACCTAAACAATAATATGATCATGTCACCGAGATCAGTTGAAATTCATGTCAACGTTAAAATGACCCTTCATGAGTTTTAACTTGGGTGTGTTTTATCATACTCAGGGAAGATATATCACGTTTTACAGTTTAAACGACCTTATGAAATCCTTAGCTCACACACTAAGGGTTTGGGATCGATCCCCAGGACGGGTGAAAGGTTGGGCATGTTTGCTCACACCTACTGCCCTTGTTCACCTATCAGTAAGTACCTGGGTGTTAGTCGACTGCAGTGGGTCGCATCCCGGGGGACAAGATTAACCTAGACTGCCTGAAATGCTCTGCATAACCAGTTGATATCATTAGCATAAATTATGCCAGAAGTGTCAACTAGGTCTCTGTCAGTTGTATCATGTATTTTGTAGAAATAAAGATTTATTTATATATTATTTTTAGAAGTGCACCTAAATTCCCAAGAATAGGAAAGCAAAGAAAAGGTGATTCATTATGTCTACAGACGCTAATATTATATTCGTCTCGTTATACACAATTAATGTAATAGTTCACTAGGATCGCCTGAAAATTTATCTCGTAGTAAGTCAGCGGCCGTTCACTGATGCCATGTTCTTGCCATCAAGCCAGCAGCCCCTCCCCCACCTTCACCCATATTCTGTTTTGTCACCCGTCCCGCCATAGTGCTCGCACCAGTGATATGTTAAGTAGTAAGTTTATTTAGGCACATGTTCACACAGGTACAATTATCATACATCTACCTACCTGGAGGCTAATCCGGGGATCAACGCCCCCGCGGCCCGGTCCATGACCAAGCATCCCGGTGGATCAGGGCCTTATCAACGAGGTTGTTACTGCTGGCCGCACGTAGCACAACGTGCGAACCACAGCCCGGCTGATCCGGTACTGACTTGATGTATCCCTCCAGCTCCCTTTTGAAGGCAGCCAAGGGTCTATTGGTAATTCCCCTTATTGTACCCACACGGAGTTGTAAGTGTGGTGTGTAATGTTAGCTGTAGGTAGGATTGTGTTAATTTTATAGCCCTACATGAGTTTTATATATTATAATTTTGTAATGTCATGTTTTAAATAAAATATAAAAAAAAAATCCCCTTATGGCTGGTGAGAGGCTGTTGAACAGTCTTGGGCCCCGGACACTTATTGTGTTTTCTCTTAGTGTACTAATGGCGCCCCTACTTTTCACTGGGGGTATGTTGCATCGCCTGCCAAGTCTTGCTTTCGTAGGGAGTGACTTATGTGTGCAGATTAGGGACCAGTCCCTCCAGGATCTTCCAGGTGTAGATTATCACGTATCTCTCTCGCCTGCGCTCCACTGAGTACAAGTCAAGTGCTTCCAGGCGTTCCCAGTAGTTAAGATGTTCGATGGAACTTGGAAATATAAACACATATGCAGTATAATGTGATCCTTTATTGACGACGTTTCGCCCACACAGTGAGCTTTTTCAAGTCACAAACAGATCTACCTGGGGTGGAAGGTACGTGAGTATTTATAGTCAGGTTCAGAATGCTGGGTCAGGTGGAGAATGCTGCATCTGATGATCTACCGAGTGGGGTTATAAAGTCTAAAATCTTGGGTAGCTTGGAAGGGAGATTTGATAAGTATGTGAGTAGACCTTCTGCAGTGTTAATCCATTCCTATGTTCTTATGTGGGATAGCGATGAAGAAGTTTTTTTGGCAAGTGGTTCATCTATGTTATAGAAGCCATTGTTCTGGTTGAAGTTGTTGGATATAGAGATAAGCGATGATTCCAAGATTCTTCGGTATTGAGTGTTGTCTTCTGTGTCGATAAGTCTTGAGTTTCTGTAGTTTATTAAATGGTTGTGTGAATCACGGTGTTGTACACAGGCATTCCTTGTATCGTCAGACCTGCTTGTGTACTGGTGTTCTGAAATACGTGTTTGGAGGTCTCTTGATGTTTCGCCCACGAATAATTTGCTGCAGTCATTACAAGGGCTTATGTATACCCCTGCAGAAGATGGAAGTTTGTCCTGTCTATTACTGGTAATGTCCTTGATGGTCGTGGTTGTGGAGGTAGATACTTGGAATGAGGTATTGGAAAAGATGTTGGAAACGTGTTTGGCAATGGAGTTGGTGGGGAGGACTATGTATCCCTTCTCGGCAGTGTCTTCTCTGGATGTGTTGAAGATGTTTAATGCCCGTCATCTGCAGTCTCTGATGAAATGACGAGGATAGTGGAGTTTGGAAAAAGCACTTTAATGACTTGAAAAAACTCACTGTGTGGGCGAAACGTTGTCAATAAAGGATCACATTATACTGCATATGTGTTCATATTTCCATTGTGTCGGTATTTTATACCATTTATTTCCACCTTGATGGAACTTATATGTGCAGCAAAAGTTCTCTGTACATTCTCTAGATCTGCAGTTTCACCTGCCTTGAATGGAGATGTTATTGTACAACAATATTCCAGCCTAGAGAGAACAAGTGATTTTAAAAAGGATCATCATTGGCTTGGCATCTCTTGTCTTAAATGTTCTCATTATCCATCCTATCAGCTTCCTTGCAGATGTGATTGTGGCACTGTTGGATTCTTGAAGGTGAGATCCTCAGACATTACCAATCCCAGGTCGTTCACATTACTTTTTCGCTCTATTGTGTGATTAGAGTTTGTAGTATACTCAATTCTAACTATTATTTCCTCCAGTTTTTCCATACCGGGGCAGTGGGAATTTGTCTTCATTAAACATCATATTGTTCTCCGTTGCCCATTGGAAAACTTGGTTTATATCTTCTTGGAGCTTTGCCGTGTCCTCAATGGATGACACTCTCATGCAAATCCTAGTATCGTCTGCAAAGGATGATACGGTGCTATGGTTTACATCTCTGTCTGTGTCTGATATGAGGATGAGGAACAGGATAGCGGCGAGTACGGTGCCTTGTGGAACAGAGCCCTTCACTATGGCAGCTTCCGATTTGACTCTGTTTACCACTACTCTTTGTGTTCAATTGGTTAGAAAGTTGAAGATCCATCTGCGTGCTTTGCCAGTTATCCCTATAGCACGCATTTTGTGTGATATTACACCATGATTGCACTTGTCAAAGGCTTTTACAAAATCTGTGTATACTACATCTGCATTCTATTTGTTTTCCAGTGCATCAGAGACCATATCATAATGGTCCAGTAGTTGCGAGAGGCAGGAGCGACCTACTCTGAACCCATATTAACCTGGATTGTGCAATTGTTGGGAGTCCAAGTGGTTTGTAATCCTGCTTCTTAGAACTCTTTCAAAGAGTTTTATGATGTGGGACGTTAAGGCTATTGGTCTATAGCTCTTAGCTATTGCTTTGCTGCTACCTTTATGGAGTGTGGCTATATCCGTTGTTTTTAGTGACTGTGGAATCTCACCTGTGTCTATGCTCCTTCTCCATAGCATACTTAGGGTCCTTGAGAGGGGTTTCTTGCAGTTCTTAATGAACACCGAGTTCCACGAGTCTGGGCCTGGAGCATGGGCATGACGTCGATGGCTTTCTCAAAGTCTAGTGGAGTTAGGGCTATGTCAGAAATTTGGCATACATTGACAGGGTTTTTGAGGATCATTCTTGAAAAAAATACTTGAATTGTCTATCTTTAGGCTGATTAGTGGCTCGCTGAACACAGAGTCATATTGAAATGTCAGTATCTTACTCATTTCTTTGTTGTCATCTGTGTAGGATCGGTCTTGTCTGAGCAGGGGTCCTATACTAGATGTGTGTGTTTTTTTTGCGTTGTTGTTTGCATATGAAAAGAAATATTTCGAAGTTCTTTAAATTTCACTAATCGCTTTTAGCTCCTCTTGTCTCTCCTGGATCCTGTATGAGTCCTTTAACTTAAGCTCAATATTTTCCACTTCCCTGGTTAGCGCTTCCTTCCGTATTTCAGATAATTATCTGGTCAACAACCAAAATGCTTCCGAGACCAGAGTAGCAATTTCTAACTAATTTTAGGTTACTGATAATGAATATAATGGTTAAAATTGTTTGTTAGCTCTACTTGTCAATATACACCTAGGTGAATTGCTTCATAATGGCAATAGTAAACCATCAGTTCCCGTGGGCTATCACCACATATGAAAGAAACTTATGAGAATATAAAGCATATGTTACAATGCATGAAATATGATGAGCATCAATAGCAGCTCTGTGGTGACTTAAAGGTTGTTGCTCTTGTGATGGGCTTGCAGGCGGATACACCAAGTACTGCTTTCTGTGTGAATGGGACAGCCGCGCAAGAGGTTCCCACTATATCAGGAGAGACTGGCCACCTCGTCAATAATTGGAGCCTGGGATGGAAAATGTTCAACATCTACCTCTAATTGAACCAAACAAAATTTTGCAACAACCCCTAGTAACATAAAACTGGAGCTCATGAAAAACTTTGTAAAAGCTATGGACAAATCCGGTCAGGGATTCAAGTATTTAACATCAAAATTCCCCTCACTGAGCGACGCTAAGATAAGAGAGGGAGTCTTCAATGGTCCTCGGATTCGAGAGCTT